CACTGTACATAATAAATCACTGCTTGCACCGAAGTCGGCTACCTGGGTCCGCCTCTTTCTTGTTCGCTCACTGACAGGTGCGAACGGCACATAACAACATCTAAGTCACTCATCATTTCAAATGCTGTTTATGTAATACAGCCTACTTTGCCTTCATTACTGAGAAATATTTATGCAATACAAGCTCAACACTCCTTCCCCCTCTTTTTAAAGGAAATTGCCACATTTGCCACAGTGTTATTTCCAAATAACATTTTGGTAATTCCAGGGTTAATAAGTACTTACAGGGCTATTAATCAATACCTTCTGAAAGTAATAGGCTAAGTAACAGAAACTGTGCTGCAAGGAAACCCAACACCTGCAGCAACCTCAATAGCTACAACATAGCTTTTAACTCCGCAGGAAAAAGTTTAATCTCTTTTGCAGAAGCAGCCGAGTGTTGTTTGAGAAAGCAGGTAAGTGTAAAAAAAAAGAATTTGAAGGTGACTAACATTTCTGTCTTCGATGACATCACTGAATTAGCTGTGGTTGACCTAATGCTCTATGTTTGACAGTTATTTCACGGTCTAATTGTTGTTCGTGGAGAATATTAAGGCAGCAGTGTGTCTGTTCACGTCTAAAAGCCAAGAGCAGTGCTACTGGTGAGCAATATACAAAGTGTTTGGGGCACGAATCTTGCATGATCTTAGGTGGAACGTGTAAACATTTACACAGGGGTATGAGTCAACTCATGTACTGCTTACATTTTTTCTCTCATTTCTCCTCCTCAATCTGAGTTGTTTTCTATTTTCTCTTCAAATCCTCATTACAGAGGCTCTGTGTGCTGCTCTATTCTAGCGCCTGTGGTTTGTTACTCTTACCAATCAGTTTTCCTGTTGCTGCAGAGGAACTGTGAGCACTGATAAGGACACTGAGAGCACATGCTTGCAATAGCGAGCTGGGGGGAGGAGAGAAAAATTAACAGATACAACGTGAAGGGCAAAAGGCTGGCTAATTGGAAAATTAATAGAGCTCATTACATGATTCTCAGTTGTTTTAGCAACCCTGGTGTCTCGACAGCTGTGAACGCGAGACTGCAGCTACAACAAACTGTGGACCAGATGGGGACTAAGATCTGGTTTGGGTCTCAACAGCAGCAGTGTGACTCAACAGAGCTGAGGTGGTGAAGTATCAGAAGATGTCCTTTGTGGGGTTGTCAGTACTAAGGAACAGACAAACCTCAAACAAACCTGCACAGGCAAGGAGACCTGCAGAAAACCAGGGAAGAAACTAAGCATATGAGGGAGCTGGAGTTTGAGGAACCAGGGCCTGAGGATCAAAGCACAACATATGCATGCTGATGCGCTCTGACTCTGGCAGGAGATGTCGAAGAGCAGGACTAAACGGAGGATCAGGCCCTGTTATTAGATCTTGCTCTGGATTGAAGACATTTTGCGCCACATACAGGAGGTGCTGTGACCCTGTCTGCCTGAGACGTGAGTCGACGTACTAAAAAATAGACGAGGAGGGACTGCGTGGGAGGAAGACAGCCATACAGCGTGAGACAGTCAGTTTTAAGTGGAAGCTGGGGGAGTTTTCTTAAACTGGTCGGCTCCAGCAGGGCCAGAGCAGGCAGCGATGAGTCAGAGGAAGCTGACAAGACAACTGAGGTTATGGGAGAGCCCTGAGGGTCCCTTTCCTACACCCTCTCTCACCTCTCCTGTGTCACCGGTCAATCACTCTCATGGACACGGCTCTGCTCTGTTTCGGCGTATGAAACTGAACCGCAGTATTCAGGAGCGCAGACGCTCGTCTCAGTGTATTTGCAGGTACCGTTTTACATCCAAGTCAGTGATCTTTAATTAGGCCATTCCCTCATTAACCAGTTTTTCTTATATTAAAAAGATGCTGCTGTGGTGTATAATTGTTCGGCATCAGTTCAGATGAGGTGTGAATATTTGTGCAATATGACTGTAATAAAAGTCACTAAAGAAGACCTCAGGGCAAATTGTCTGGTGCACACACAGATGAATTACATTTTGGGCAGTGCTAAATTCAGAATATTGAAGTCTCATAATTACTCACAAGGTTTGCAGGGGAAAGAGAGGGGATGGATTAGTGGGTGCAGCTTTCAGCGTGTCCCCCTGGCAGGTGTTTTGGATGTGTTCTTCATTACTGAGGAAACGTGTTTAATGATAATTTAATCTGTTGCAATATTCACAAACCCTTGTGGGGAGAGGAGTTTCTCCTAATTGGACAATTTAAGAAGTAAATTCTAAAAATATCACACATACATGCTTAATTTTAGAAGTTAAAGTGAAAACTGTTGACAACAACAACAGTTTGAGAAGTTTTGGAGGAGTGGGGAGATTCTGTGGAGATAAAAAATGATCTTACATTAACAACAGATGCTGCAGCTACACTGAAATCTGCTTCTCTATCTGTCCTTGTCATCCCAATGTTTGACTGCAGCCTGAGAGTGACAGTTATATATTAACAATGTTTTATACAGAAGCCTTGAGTCTGTTTTAGTGAATAACAAACCAAACAATGTCTCAAGCACAATACTGTTTACAAGTATTGTCAGATAAATTATCTGTTTATACCGTTACTACAACATTCTCCACCACTGTGTTGTTACATGATGCCAAACTGTAAAATCCTGTTCAAACAATACTAACTTCATTTCTTGGAAGCAAGTTCAAATCACTTTTTCATCCCAGAAAAAGTTGTTCTGAGGTACTTTTGTTGAAGGCTCCTGGAGAATAAAGGTTTGATGACACTAGGGGCCAGGTGTATAAAGCTCTGAGTAGATTCATGACGAAAACTGTGTAGGCACTAAGACAGAAATGAATGTATGCGTTGTTTTCGTCAGATTTATAAAGCAGCACAAAGCCTGGTTCTGCTTTATAAACCTCAATAGCCGAGGTATGTGGCAAACATGCACGAGCTTCTTTTCCACTCTCACCTTTAGCCATAAATAGATGCAGACACGCCTTTAATCGGTCGTTTGCATATAGAAACGGTCTCTGAACCGTACGGTATTAGACATGGCAATGAAAGCAATGCCCAAGAAGAAGTGAGTAGTGGACACAAGGAAAGATGATTTGTTTTTGGTGGTCTTGATTCAGGGGTCACGAACAGAAAAAAAGCTGCTGAATGGCAAAAAAATCAGTGTCAGAACTGGTCTGACTGTAAGCAAGAGGCAGAAAAGGGCATATGTGCGGCCAAAGAGAGCATGAGTGCAACAGAAGGACCAACACTGGTCGTTTGCACATAGAAACGGTCTCTGAACCGTACAGTATTAGACTGCATTATCTGCCGCAGTTTGGGCCATTCAGCTTTACAGGTTCAGAAGGAGTTCAATTCATTGTTTCTCCCCTTAAAACCACATTGTTGAGATCCTCCGGTGAAGCAGAACAGCCAACTTTACGCACGACCTTTAAAATGCTGCTATTTATAGAGCGTTGTTTTAAGCACATTCACCTGTAATGGCTTATTGTTAGGCTAGTGGTGTCTCAATCATCAATCAATGAAAATAGATTAATAACTATAATATCAGCAGTTTAGAGAAAAATGTAAGTCTAAAATGAAAACAGGATCATTGACATCAAAGGCAAAAGAAATAAGAAAAACTCCTTAGGCCAACATAAACGTAATGTATAAAACCACACTGTATGAACTTAAATAAAATGTAAACCGCTAAAAAAATAGTGCAAGCTGTTTAAAATTGGATGTCTTCACCATATCACAACTTCTGAAACCGTGTGTACGCATGGTCTATGTGTGAGGTGCGCATTGTGTTTATACATACCACATCATATGTAGGAAACACTGACTGTAAAAACCATGGACAGGCTCAGAGCTCCCCGAAGTGAAGTCACAAAAACCAGATCGCCCTGATGGCCAGTACATCCCGCCTCCTCCATGTTAATGGATGGGACACTAGCAACACTAAAAACTCAAAATCATTTTTCCTAGAGGTCACTTCTGTCGTTTTTGGTAGATATTATCATGCGGATGTGTGTACAAGTGGTCATTTTTCTGGTAAGGTTGCTTTTAATAGGTTATTTGATGAAAGAGGTGTAGGCCTGATTCAGTTAATTTCACAGGCTTGATTGTCTGATGCTGTCCCTCCGCTTCTAGTTGCTGCCGCGCAGAATCTGATTGCAGGAAATTAAGATGGAAGCCGCTGTATTCAGGACAGTTTAGCGTCATTTTTGCATAGTGAAGAGAAGCGTTGTGCATCTGGCCCCAGGTCTTGGTGAAAAAGTGAAGTATGTAACACAAGACATGTGTTTCTGGGTCCCCTTTGGCTAAGATCAGTTTTGAATGAATCTGGCAGACTGGAAAATTTAGAAATTCAAACCGACTACAGTGTCTTTGGATGCTAACATCCGCCTCTTCTCCTTTTCTCTTGTTGATATTTCCTGATAATAAGTTAGTTTCATGTAGTCTTATCTTAACATGCATGAGTAACAATAGCTGGTTGAATCCTCCAGGTTAAAAGAGTCTCAGTCCAAATCAACAAGCCTCAGTCACTTTGGCCCAGAGAGAAGCTGCTGTTGATGTGGCTCATTTTGCTCACTTCAACACAGTTCACTCTAAAATGTGATTTGTTAGTAAAGTGTAATTCTCAGAGCGGCCGGTGGCAGTCTGCCAATCCAACAGCAATGCAGAGTCACAGCTGTATGGGTTCATGCTGTATAGCTGTCTGTCACATCTTACGTTTTTCAACTTCCTCTCTAAGGAGGAAGGTAAAGGAGGGGGAATTTGATGGTTTATGCTTCAGTGTTTAGGGTTTATCTTGGCACTTTTTGGTGTCACTACCAGGTAAGAGTAGCAGCAGTGAAACAAACACCAAAATTAACAGTAAGAGATTTAAACCTAATTTCCATCCTGTCCTCTCTAACCCTTCAGCTTTGATTCGGAGAATGGTCCCTCACCAGGCCGCAGTCCCATGGATTCGCAGGCGAGTCCTGGGTTGGTGCTCCATCCTTCTTTCCCCCAGAGTCAGCGCAGGGAGTCCTTCCTGTACCGCTCAGACTCAGACTATGACACATCCCCCAAAACCATGTCACGCAACTCCTCCATCAACAGTGAGGGGTAAGCATGAAGCCATCATCTTGGATCCATCACGCGGCAGACACAGCTGAAATGTTTCTGAAACCCACAGTGTTCACTCATACACATGCACCACAGTCACTGCACATTGTCCCAATCAACACAGCACTGGTTATAATTGCAATTATGCAAGCATTATGCTAATGACATCATGATGAATCCTCTTAATTTTTGCTCTTTGTTTCTTGGCTTGTCTTCCGGTAAGTTGAAACCTTCCAATAATATGTGTTTCAGGATTATTGCTCTGTTTAGATACATGCAGGTGTTCGTAAGCCTTCAGCTCACAGATGCAGCCTTTCATATAAACACAGATACTGTGTGCCTCAGCTGCTCAAACCACTCACATTCATCTCACTCTCTGTATCTTATTTTCATCTTTTGTGCTGCAGGCATGCCGAAGACATGATCGTCACCCCTTTCGCTCAGGTATGTTTTTCTTATGCACCTCATCTGACATGTTTAATTGCTATAAATGACTACAAAAGGTGGCTAATTAGCACAGTGAACTCTTCCTCCCTCCCTCCTCTTTCTTTCCCTCCTACACTATCCATCCATCCCCCAGGTGTTGGCCAGCCTACGAACTGTAAGAAGCAACTTCACCATCCTCGCCAATGTCACAACACCCACTAACAAGTCAGTATCATGCTGTCAAACACCCCTTCCCCCCACTTACACTCATCACGACTGGCTGCTTAGTTTGCAGTGTGTGTTTGATAATGTCTCTTTCTTCTTGTACCCATGGGGAAACACTTTTGCCATCATGATTTACCAGTTTATGATTATCAAACTATGCTCACAGAAAATATGATCTGCATTATATGGCATCTCTCCAACTCGCTGGCTAAGGCCTAAATGCAGAGAGCACCATGGCTCAGATGTATGTCCCTGACTCTGTATCAGACAATGGAGACAGTCAATAACACTAAAATTATTTTCCTTTGTAGTGCAGTAGAGAGAAAGAGCACGAGTTGGCAGGCTTTTAGCTCCACGTCAATATGTTATATAAAGCCATGCACCACAGAATTATCAGAATCTATAATTATGCAGTGTTGTGCCCTGAAAGTGCCTCCATCACTATACAATTATGAAACCATGAAGGCTATTTAAGAGGAGGGTATACTATTTTTGCAAACTAGAATATTTGAAGTGAAATATAGACACTTTTATGGACTTGAAAAGATTTGCACACCGCAATTCAATATTCCAAGACATATAGACATGCTCTGCTCCATTTGTCTGTTTGTAGGGACATATAAATGAATAACATACATAACAATACCTAGATCTCCTCTGAGTCTTTTGCTGTTTCATCCTGTAATGCTGGAGCTGTGCTGAACCCCAGCAGGGGGAAGCAGTGTGTAGCTCTCCCTCTGATGTGATGATGTTTTTGTCCACAGGAGGTCACCAGTGACAAGCCAACCCACTGTTCCCCAAGCTACGCTCTCTGGTATGTTATTGGCCAAATAAAACTCTTAGTCTGAAGAGTCCCATGGTCCCCTCACACACATACTACTCCTCCCACACTCCCCACATATTACCATCACTGATGAAAATGACTGTAAAACATCACAGAGCATAAGGTGGCTATTAGTGAAGGATTGTTTGATTAACTAGACTGTGCAGAACAAATAACTAATATGATTACTGGTATAAAACAATGTGACAGCATGGGAAAACACGAGTAGCTTTGATTTAGCTGTTGTGTTATTCTGCATATTAAAAGATCTGGCAATCAGTTTTAGTGGTCATATATCCCATGATTTGAATTTTGTTGGTGGACCTGCCTGTTTGTGTACACTTCGATTTCTAGAAGCTTTTTTTCCCAAAGTAGAATTATAAACAAATGCATGTAATTTTTATCATATGTGGACAAGATGGACAATGTTCAACTCTGTAACTATAAATGCCAATTAGTGTCAGCTTACTGAGTGACAGGCCACATATCACTTTAAAAGAAGACATTCCATCAGGTCATCACTGTTTCTATGCCATAATAAGTGATCTTCATCTACTCCTGGTTTGAATATTCTCTCTCTCTCTCTGTGTTTGTGCATCTGTCCTTCCCAGAGGAGACATACCAGCAGATGGCTCGGGAGACTCTGGAGGAGCTGGACTGGTGTCTGGACCAGCTGGAGACCATTCAGACCCATCGCTCAGTCAGTGAGATGGCCTCCAACAAGGTGCACAACTGTCCACAAACACACACACACACACACACACACACACACACACACAATGTTCCTGTTACTGCAAAACTGCTGAACTTGGCTCAAGCCATCTGACAAGATGTTGTGTGTCAGCCAGTTAAGTGTGTGCAAGTGCACATTACCAAATCGGTCCCTAATAGTAGATGACTTTGTAATGTGAATGCTGTAGGTCCACTCTTTTTTCCCTCACAGGTATTGCAGTGACAGACAAATGATAACTTTTCTGAATTGTAAAAGCCTGTCTCATTGTGTTATACACAGCTGTGTAGCGGTGTGGGGTCACACAAAAATCCAATCACATTGCTCTCTCACTCAAACTTCCCCTTCAAAAATCCTAAGGCCATTTCCATTTTCAGTGTAAACATGTGGAAAGAGTCAAGCTTTCAGCATTAGACCAAAGTTGCAGTCAAACAGCAGTTAGCATTTTTTTTAGATTGTATGTGACTCCTATAACTTTGATTAGCTCCATACAAGTGATTCAGACCCAGTGTTTTGCAATAGCACAATTTATTCGCAAATTACTTCTTTTACTGACTTTATTTTGTCTTTTCATTCACTGTAATGTTGCTAGAGACACCGGAGGGAAAACTTTTATGCCAAAACAAAGGCCTACAACTGCAGTTTCATCTCATGCACTCTACACAAAGCTAAGTCTTAACTGATCAGAGTAGTCCTACAAATGTTTTAGCAACTGCTAATGAAGGGACCAAGGATGGGTCATGTTTGCAACTATTAGAGTTTTTCCACCACAGGAACTTCAGTAGCCAGAACCTGGAGCATTCCTACCTGTAACTTGCAGAGCTTTATAGGCTGTTTACGCAGGAGCGGCGCTGAGCAGAGGATGTCATGTCAATAGCAAAAATGCTTGTTAATAATGCATGCAATAAAATATGCCAGTAACGAAGAGTAAACAAGCAGCTTATCAAACATCTGTTCAACAAGCAGAACACAAACTTGCAGAAATGACATTTTCACCGCTTTTCCTCTAGTCAATGTGCTAGTCCTCATTTTACCTCTAAACTAATGAGTGAACTCCCCATTTTACCTTTAATCTAATAAGTGTACGTTTACATGCTGTGACTGAGAGTCTAATACTTGAGTCATGACAATGTTTACATTCAGCCAATCATGGGTGACAACCTTATGGGCATGCACCCTTTCTTCCCTCAAGTACCTGGAACCTAAGCACAACTGTCCACAAACACACACACACACACACACACACACACACACACACAATGTTCAATGTACTATCACTGTCCATCTTTGTCAGTGTTAACACAAGATGGCGCCAAGTTTCCTGATAAACAACATACTGTAAACAGTGTAGTTCTCACATGAACATTTCATCACTTCCTGAGAAGTCATTAATAGTGAGTTGCTGTTGTTTCAGTCACAGGGTATAAAATACATTATTTCTACCATTTAAGCTTCTGCTCTTTGACAAACACAAACTGTGCAGCTCCAAGGTAAAGTTCACAACAGTTAATTAAAAAAAAAACAACACCCTGCTGAAACCTTAAACTTCAAGAGCTGTAAAAGCCTTCACCTAGCTTGTCCAGCCTCTTTTGTCACATTGAACCTTGACACATTTATTGTTTAGTAAAAGACAAGACAGCTGTTGAAGTAATTAAGCTGCTTTTGTAGAAAAAAAAATTGTGTGCTGAACATTTTTGTTTCCTGGGTTTGTTTGCAATCTTGTGGTTGAAATTTACAGTATTGATGAATAATAAGGTTGGTTTGTTTTTTATGCCACTGGTTAAATTAAAGTGGCAAATATCAGTTGGTGTGCATTTGCGTTTTTAACTACGACACATGCAGCCCGATTGCACTGGATTATGGCACTGTACATTTTGCTTATCTACAGCTACATGCCTATATATATGCACATGAGCAGGCTACTTAGGTGTGTATGCATTTGTGTTTGTGGGCAAGGGGACAGAGAAAGGAAGGTATAAGAAGGGATGGAAGGTGATGGTCTGTGGGTGAGGAGGACACTAGACAGAGGAGGAACAGGTCCCGGTGCTGATGTCTCTGCTGTAACCTTGGTTGCTATCTAACAGCAGCAGGGTCTGCCCTTCCCTTTTAGTTATTGGCTTGCCACTCTGACCACAAGCCATGTGGTCTGGGTAACAACCAATGCAAGAGAGGCAATGCTCCTTTAATAGTGTTGAGTCTTAAAGAAACAGCATCGTGTACCTTGTTTGTTTTATTCTAGAAATTCTTCCCATGTTGCACTGCACGGAAAATTCATGTCAGGGCTCTTCATGTTTACAATCAGTCAGGTTATGATGAAACGACTGAGGGAGATAACAGGAGAGGGCTTAAAGCACAACATGTACAGTATGTGCCTGGTGTGTGTATGTCTGTGTGTGTGTGCCCACATTTACATGTGTGCGTATACAATGTGCAAAGTCTCCTGGAGTAAATGCAGTCTGTTTGAATATGTTGCTGCCTTTGAGCAGCTGAAGCAAAACTACAGAAATCCTCCGCACTGTGCCAACATGGAGGTACACACATGGATATTCCCACTCAGTCTCTCACTCTTACTCACAACCTTGCACCCTCACTCACACACATATTTTCAGCAGACGTGCATGCTGTCTGGTCGCACATGCGCACTCAGGCTGAGAGCAGAAGCAAGCACAGACACACAAATGCAGGCGCCTGCAGCCACACAGCCTGATTAGCTTGCAAGAGCTGTCTACAGCATCCATGGAAATGGCGCAGAAGGCAGAGCACTGGAATAAGAAAGGCTGCCTAAAGCGACAGGATTAGAGACTCTGGTGGTTTGGGCAGCTGTGGCATGGATTGACTCAGAGCAGGGGACTGGGCTACAGGCAGCCTGACTGACTGTGGACTGACTGTTTCTGGGATCAGTGTGAGACGGCACAGATGAGCTGAGGCACTGGTAGGACTGGGCCGGGCCTCTGGATCCGTACCATGGGGGAGGGGCAGTCGACGCAGGGAAAGGGAGCGTGTTTTTCCAGACCACAGCACTGGTGTGGTTCCTCAGCCTGACCATCTACTACAGGCCTGCCTACATCCCTCTCTGTCTTTTTCTCTCTCAGCCTTCATCTTTGTTTTTCTCTTGCTATCAATCATCTGTTGCCCTCCCTTCCCTTCCCCAATGTTCCTGCTATCATCCAAGCTCCTTTTGCCTCCCTCATTTAATACTACAGTCATCTTTCTATCCAGCTGTCACCGTCTCTATATAGTTCTCACCTCCATCATCTGAATGTGTTATTGCTAATTGTCAAGCAGCACAGCTGTCACAACTATTTTTTTTTTATTTACATCTCCCGTACATTCCTACTCATATTCTCTATCAGCTCCTTAGGGTGCCCTTCAGACGGTCCCTCGCTCTCTCGCTCCATTTCCATCCATCTTCTCTCTTTCGGCTCGCATCCACTTTTACCCTGCAGTGACTGTAGATTTGGGCCAGTCTGCTGAGCAAATGGGATGAGATGTAGTCTCCACAGCAGCCAGATCCAGGGGGCTCCTGGTCTGCCCATCAGGAGGACCCTCATCTTTGGACCACACTGAGGCTGGAGCCTGACTCCGGATTGACTTGGTGGCCTGATTTGGGGTGTTGCATGTAGGCACGGACAGTCTGCGCCAGCAGCCCCTGCCCTCACCCCCTTCCCCTTTTCCATTGCCCCCTCTCGGGGCAGCCATCACTCTGGAGTGTCCCGGCTTGACTGGCTGTGGCCTTTCCCCACACACCCTGAAGACGTCCCAATGCCACTGGGGCACCTGCACTGCCTCCACCCCGCTCCACTACCACACCTCCTGCCTGTGCCACCGGCCCAAACCCCCCGTCACCCTCAACATGGGTGTGGTGGAGGCCATTGACCCAGCGCCGTCACCCTGCCCCTCACCTGTACCAGGGGGTTACAGGCTGCACCGGTCCTCCAGCTACAGCCCCCTGCAGGGGAGGGCAGGGGCAGAACTGGACCTTGGTGCCACTGCCGGAGGGGTTCTGGAGGGGGCAGGGACGGCGGCAGAGCGCAGGACACCCTTAGTGGACCTGTTCTGTGAGACCTGCTCCAGGCCCTGGCTCATCAGCTGGTGGGACCAGGTAGGACTTGAAGGGCTTGCACAAGGCAAACAAGGCCTGGCAGTGGCCATCTTGGATAGATGCTGTGAACTCTTCAAGTGTTACTGCTACTTCTATGCATGCATCAACAACTCATCTGTTTGCTATCTGGTCGGTGGATGTTATGTGCTTATAAGGGAGTATAAGTACAATGTGCTACATGTGGACTAGCTCCTTATATACTGGATATGTGATGGTGGTGGCTGGTGTTGTGTCTGACAGTGGCTTTGTGAGAAGGATATTGCTGACTGTCTTCTTGTACATAACGTACACATGAATCCACTGTAGAGGAACCCTATTAATTCTGCTCAGTGTTTCTACATTGCAGCACTGCTGTAAACAAAGGAACAATATCACTCTTTTATGCAGCATCTACAGTACATTTCTGTCTTTTGAGAATAAAGAGCTGCTTAAAATCTAAGAAATTGCTTTGGGTCTTTAGTGAGGCTGCCCTCAGGTTGGTCTCACTAAAAACTTGCAGTCTCAGTGAAATACAATGCATATTTTTTTAGGTGTACCACTACTCTGCATCTATAAAATGTATAAAATTAGACACTGGGGAAGGTTTCTATACTATGTCAGCTCTGCCATTATGTTACCAAAACTAATTATTGCCTTTGTCTTTACCCTTTCATTGAATTACACTCATAAAATTTGTATTATATTATTTACTTCCGTTGTCATGGTTCCATCTGAATCAAAATGTGCAGGATATAGTTCAGTGAAAGGTCACATTGTGCATGTGTGTGCATTTGTATATCAGTTTTATTTATGATCAGACAGGATAGAGCCCCTTGCATATCCAGGTGTACAAGAGTGTTGTTTGTCCTGGCACTCAGACTGGCACTGTGGAAGTGTTGGTTGGCAGCTATGACTCAGCGTTACAGCATTAGGGAAGGAAACTATGAGAGGAAGAGAGAGAGAGAGTGAGACAGGAGGAGGAGGTTTGGCCTGAGCCTGCTGCTTAAGTGTGCCGCTGTGCTTGACAAGCGTTCCTTGCTCCTGATGACTGATTTTACCTGATGGCCTTTACAACTTGTACCTATTTTCTTGACCTATCATGTAATGAGCGCCTGACTGGATAGGATGGAAAAAAAGTGACAACTGAGATGAACAGAGTGAAAGATGGTGGGAATGCGCGAAGTGTGTGAAATGGCAAAAATGCAAAGTGAAAGCTGTGACTGAGGGGGATTTTAGGGCTTGAGGGCAGTAGTTGAGAGGGTTGTTTACCTCGAGAGGGAGGGAGGAGCAGACATAAGCGACACAGAGAGGAAGACAGTGGAGGAGGGGAGGGTTGACCTTGGTAAAGGTCAGAGACACCTGCCTACTCCATCAGATTGTCACCCAAGCAGCTACTGCTCTCACATCAAGCTGAAGGACTGACTGTGAGGAGGCAGTTGCCATAGCAACTGCTCTGGTTGCCATGGAGATTGTTATGTGTGAAAGATCAGTCAGTAGGACACAGACTCAGGGGTCTTGTTTGAATCGCATAATACCTTAAAGTGACTTGTGCGACAGGGAACTGTCAAGCCTCCAAATATCAGGTTTATCTGCAGGTGCAAAACATTACATAAAATCTGAACGAACATTCTGGAACATGTTTTTCTGTCTGCAGGGATAATGTAGTCACTTAGATGATATTTGTATCTGTATAGCGAGGACCTGCAGCCTAGCTGTTAATGATTGCCATGTAGATGTATGAAAAACAACATATATGAACATGCCATATCCAACACAAAGCAATCAAAATGCTAGCACACTGGAGCAGGGTATTGAACAGTATGTTCTCATCTGAGAAAAAGAGGAGGCATGATTCACAATTGATTTTCTCACCCGTTAGTGAATAGAGCTAGATTCGGGGTGATAATTTGTTTTCTCATATTTGAATGATGTGTTATGTGTCATTGCAAATAGGATCTAAAGTACAATGCTAATTCTGAAGGTTTACCAAACTGCATGTCTCTACATTTTTCAATATGCCAGTAACATTTATGCTTTTACTTTACTACTATTCAAGTCACTCACTTTCTGTCCCCCCCACACACACACTTCATACAGTTCAAGAGGATGCTGAACAGGGAGCTTTCCCATTTGTCAGAAATGAGTCGCTCAGGGAACCAGGTGTCAGAATACATCTCCACTACCTTTCTAGGTAAATCAAACCCGCCGCCCATTTGTGATCAACCAGTAGCTCAACTCCCTTATACAAGACGTCTCCATCCTGGCTGACCTTTGACTGTTGATCCTTCCAGATAAGCAGAATGAGGTTGAGATCCCATCCCCGACCTTGAGGGAGAGGGAGAAGCCCATGTGTCACATTAGTGGTGTGAAGAAGCTCACGCACAGCTCCAGCCTTTCCAACTCCTCCATGCCTCGCTTCGGCGTGAAGACTGAACACGAAGATGCATTAGCCAGGGTAAATGGATGGAAAGGCAACCTACCAGATGCAAGTTATTGCATACACATGCACATAAAGCCATACAGTAGATAACTAAGACTATAAAAGACTCAAAAATACAGGTTAAACATATTTCCTCCTACTCTCCTTGACATATTCCTTCTATGTAAAAAAAACATTTGCATTTTCACACATTTCTTTAACTACACCCAATTATGTGAAAAACTAAAGGAAACTGCATGATTTTTTCTTTTTCATATTGATCTGTCAGAAACTGAGCAAGAGCTGTTTGGAAAACAATGTTTTGCACATGAACAGAAGCCAGTTTCACCAGAGGCAAAAACAAAACACCACAAAGCCATGTAGCTACAATCCATGTTGTTTCACGTGCATTGTGATTGAATCTAATTCAGTACAAACTGTTGGATTGTTGTGCTGATGTGTGTTAATGCTGTGCCTTCAGGAGCTGGAAGACTTGAACAAGTGGGGCCTTAATATTTTTCGTCTGGCAGAATTCTCTAATAACCGACCCCTAAGCTGCATAATGTTTGCCATCTTCCAGGTGAGAAACAATGGATTATACAGCAGCATATAAACTAGATTCAAAGTGTTTATTGTCATATGTACAGTAAGGAAATATGTTTCCCTGCACAATGAAATTCTTCCTGTGCTGTCCACAATGAATGCCAAACAATATAGAGTCTAAATGTAAAATAAAAAATAGATACATAGTAATACAAAATAAAGGTACTATAAAAACAGCAAGTGAAAAAAATATATATATATAAGAATATATGCTAGACTCATCTGAGACCATGACCACTGTGGACTTTTCCTGCTGCAGGAAAGAGATCTACTGAAGACCTTTCGGATCCCTGTGGATACATTTGTCACTTACGTAATGACCCTGGAGGACCACTACCATGCCAATGTGGCCTACCACAACAGCCTCCATGCTGCAGATGTCACTCAGTCTACTCATGTTCTGCTATCCACACCAGCTCTAGATGTAAATTCCTCTACGGGTTTACCATTGTCAAAAACATAACACTCCAAGATCATTTGTCATCTGTAGTTTAACTGATTGTTTCCCTTTCCTATCTTTAATCTCTCTCTGATAGGCTGTGTTCACTGATCTAGAGATACTGGCTGCATTATTTGCTGCTGCCATCCATGATGTGGACCATCCAGGGGTGTCCAACCAATTCCTCATAAACACCAGTGAGTCAAAACTGAGATTAAGAAATGATTTTAAAAACAAGAAAATGGGAAAAACAGAGGTTGTTATGATGGCAGGGGCAAACAAATAGCTGCTCTTCATTTATAAAAGACAATGAATTCAGATTCAGTTCCCCTGAAATGTGTGGTATCTGACCATAACTAGAAAGAACCAAGAAAGTAAGGAAAGCAATATAAGAAGAGAATGGCAAGTCTTGTCTTTTCAAACTTGGTAAAAGTCACATGTTTTAAAACGGTATAATGCAGGTGAGAATTAGATGCGGCCACATTTGTAGGTAACCTACCTACCTAGTATTTGTATAAACTGCTGTTTTTAAACTTTTATTCTCAGTATTAATCATGTTACATCTATACATTTTGAGATAGTACCATCCCAGTCTGGTGCTAATGCTGATCACTGGAGCACGGTGATGTAATTACCATATGTGTTTTTGACTCACATGTTATATGGTGCTTCCCTCAGACTCAGAGTTAGCCCTGATGTATAATGATGAGTCTGTGTTGGAGAACCATCACCTAGCTGTGGGCTTCAAGCTGCTTCATGAGGACAACTGTGACATCTTCCAGAACCTCAGCAAGAGGCAGAGACAGAGCCTGAGGAAACTTGTCATTGATATGGTGAGAGCAAACTCATTCTGAATGATGAAGATACTGTATTTCTTTATCTCTCTTCATCTGCTCCTGTGATTCTCTGTCATCACTTAGAACTTTTTCATCCATATCAATTTTTTCCCCAGGTTTTGGCAACAGATATGTCTAAACACATGAGTTTGCTAGCAGACCTCAAGACTATGGTAGAAACCAAGAAAGTCACAAGTTCTGGAGTACTGCTGCTCGACCACTATACTGATCGCATACAGGTGAAATGTCACTTTCAAGCTTTTTTAAACAAGTAACATCAATCATCAGTTTTGACACTGAGTAGATGTTCTGATTCTGAGGAATGAACATTAGGTGAGCATTGATAGGAGATATTCTGTTAATTCTGAGTGCTACAAAAGCAAAAAAGAAAGCTTGGCAGGATGTAGACACTTGTAGAGGTGAAGTGAAGGGATATTTGATGAGCATGGCAGGGTGGCTGGGCAGAAAACCATTTCAGGTGAAGGCATTTTTACTCTGCAGTGTCAAAGTGTAGCGTCTCTGCGAGATGCAGCTTGTATGTAGAAGATACGGTCTTGCATGAATTACATATTGCTTCTTGTTATGCTGAGTACATATAAAGCACATGACGCCAGGGCTTGTTTGTATTTTCTCATTTTTCTTTAAGTATCTTTCTTTAGCTTAGAAATAACAAGAGGTTGAAACATGTGATTTAAAAACTCTCAGTTTTAAATCTGTAGGATCAAGTAGACAATGCTTAAAAGTTTTTGATGTATAATACTTTGCTTTGACAATAAAGATGGAGAGATGTTTCGTGGGGCAGTTCTTGCAGTAAGAAACAGCTACCTCATATTATCTTGATTGAGTTCAAGGGAGGGTGAGGTACCAGCCACACATGCAGACATGTATTTGAATGTCATACAGAGAAGATCAGAGGTTCATCAATTCATCCACAAATTGAAAACCTGAGGTATCATAAACAGTTCATTAGAAAAAAAAGAAACACGCTAGTGGTTTCCCAGAGGTTCCAGTCTCTGTATGAGTATCAAGGAGGAGGTTAGATATTTACAGTTTCTAATTTAAGAGCTCAGGAGCATCCAAAATAGCGAAGGGTGCAATTTTGTTTCTTTGTGCCAGTTTGAATCATGGGTTCGAATAAGATGTTCTATGATAATTATATATTTCAAGAGTTTTGCAAAGGAATGAACAACCACACTAGTCTGTAGTTGCTGACATTAGGTAAGAATTGTTCATGAGCTGTTGTTTAACTACATGATTTGAAGGCAAATAGCTAAATGTCACAGATTTGATGATTAACACTGAAAGAGGGAGTCGGAGGGATGTGATTGCAGTGCTAAAAGATAAATGTTTCAGCACTTTGTTGTGGGGAGAGGAGAAATAGAAGTGAAGCCAGAGCCAATACAGTGGTGAGTAGAGAGGACACCTTTGAGTGTTTTGAATATGACAATTAATGATAACTGTGAGCTGAAATGGAGAAGGGAGGAGCAGCTGATGAGGTGCTTGGAAAAGAGGAGAAAGGTAAAGAAAATTTTGGAATTAAGCAATTATTGCAAGCAATTAATAGAGCAGAAAAGAAGAACGAAGAAATGTAAAGAAGTAAAAAAGGTCATCAGAAATCCGAGTTTGAGCCAACTCCTGTCAGCTGTTTGGGGATTTGTTCATTTAAAACACAAAGCATCAAACAACCAGAAGGACAGAGAAGGTTAAGGGCAGATGATTCCCATGCATATTTGAATCTACGGTGGCATAAGGTGCTTACAATGTTGCATAGGCAGTAGTGAGTAAAATGCAGGTATGTGTTTGTGCAGGTTTTAAGGAACATGGTGCATTGTGCTGATCTGAGCAATCCCACAAAACCTCTGGCTGTGTATCGACAATGGACAGAAAGAATCATGGAGGAGTTCTTCAGGCAGGGAGACAAGGAGAGGGAGCGAGGGATGGAGATCAGTCCCATGTGTGATAAACACACTGCTTCTGTGGAAAAGAGTCAGGTAAATGATCGGCTCAAAAGTTTACATGCATGGATATGATTCTGTACACAACTGGTTAACTGTGATAAATGCTGTAGGTGGTGTGATAACTACAGTGCAGACAGCGATCTGTCATCTCTGATCACAGCAGTTTTCCTCATACATTTTGAATGCTGATTTGCAGGAAATGAAATGACACCACTGTGCTAGTTTATATGATGCCAGTCCTACTTTTCTTCTCTTGATGCAGGTGGGCTTTATTGACTACATTGTCCACCCACTGTGGGAGACATGGGGAGACCTGGTGCACCCTGATGCCCAAGACATCTTGGACACTCTAGAGGACAATAGGGACTGGTACCAGAGCACTATACCGCAAAGCCCCTCGCCACCTCCTGTGGGCCAGGGCAAGGATCTAAATGCCTGCATTGACAAGTTTCAGTTTGAGCTCACCCTTGAAGACAGCTCTCTGAGAGATCAGAGAGATGAGGACGCCAAACCCATGAAAAATCATCTGGCACAGGACTGTAGTCATGGGGAGGGGGAGGAGGATAAAAAGGAGGAAGAAGACATTATGGCAGAGGAGGACATAATAGAAGAAGAAGACGAGGTGGCAATGGAAGAAGAGGAGATGGAAGAGGAACAGGAGGCGCTGAAAGCTAGGTTGGAGGTGAGATCTGAAAAGGAGAGACTTTCTGACACAAGTCCTGTAGAGGAAGAGGAGGATTCTTCTTCACAAGCTGAAGATACATGAGTTCTGCTCCTGTATCTCCCTTTTCACTTGCACACATTATCTTGTTCATCCTTTCAGTGGCCAAACCAAGAACAAATAAGACTACAACGACAATACAGACCTTTAAATATATTTTTCAAAAAGGGAATAAATTAAAAATGCTTCAAGAGAAGTTACTTACACAGCAACTGTAGATTTGGAGGAGTGACAAGTCCTTTGACTGCTTTATAATGAATTTTAGACTGGCAGGAACTTAGAACAGCATTGATGATGGGCAACTGAAAATAGCGTAGCAGACTGGAATGCATACACATAAACGCACACAAAGCAACACACAAACACATAAGACACAACAGGAGTAAGTCATGTAGAATACATCAATGCAATGTGTGCATGCATCAGTCATGCAGTATAATTGCAGCCCATATTTACCCACTCCTTACACATACACATGCACATGCACTTGATTGTATGTATGTATGTATGAGTGCATTTACATGAGGGACACTGATCAGTAATGGGTCTCTTTGGAAAAAGCCATCTCTTAATGGAGTATTACCTAGTGTTCTGTCAGTATTAGTAATTCATGTTCCTTAGAATCTCAACAGAAACTGTTCTCCTCGGAAAAGCTACAGTCCAAGTGACTTTTTTTCCATTTCTGTCGGAAAGAAAACTAAGAAAATCCACAGAGTTGGAGGAGGAACGAGGGAAAATATCAAAGGAAAGGAAGATACTGCGATGAAGGGGCCGCTGGGTCCCACACCCCTTTTCCCTTTATGAGGAGAGTGCTACTGGTACAAGATGGCTCTGTGCCTTTCTGAAACACCAGCTTCCTGAATGGAGCTGTTGTGAAGCAATGCATTGTGGGACAGGAGTGTCTGATCCTGTTATCATTTACGATTGTCTCTTGTTAAAGATCTCTCTTTACTGTTCATGGTATTGTGGTGTGTATCTCACACATAGAATTTCTGTGGTGATATGTTTTAAGCTGTAAGTCTTCCTTTGTTGCTCTTCTGCTAATATAATAACTCAGAACTCTAGATGCAGAGCAATCACTACCACCACAACCACCAGTGGACTCTTTCCAGTTTGTTTTTGTTTCTTTTAGAAGGATCTTTTTTAAATTTTCTGAGAATAAGCCATGTGATGCTTTAAAGCATATGTTCTGCCTATTTTCTATTTAATGGTTGCTAAATATGTTGAAGAAATAATTATTTCATCAAAAGAACAAATTTTTACTCATCTCGCACCCATTTGCACTGTGTCTTTATGTCTCTGCATACACAACACTTCTCACCAAAGTAAAGGATGAGAAACTTCAGTTGATGAAGTGATTTGAAGGTCCGGATGAATAAGAAAATCAGGGAGGCTGAATGCCGGGGGTAGACGCATGATATGGCCAATAGGAAGTGTGACAGTCCCTAATCATCCTTGTCATGTTTGATGCTTTTTTTGCCTTAATGTCAGATACAGGATACATACCTGCCAGTATGTAGATTTCTAAGATATATAATAGATATCCTAGGATATTTATATGATGTCTGTATGTTTATTACTATATCAGTGTGTCTATACACAGTGTATCCAGCATTGCATTTTGAGGAGAAAGGAAAACATTGTCATCAATTAGTCATCATGTTGTTACTGTGCTCAGACCAACACAAAGAATGTGCTGTTTTTTTAATCAGAATGGTAAAATCTTATAGCTACCTGGAGACATGCAGAAAAAATAAGCAATTGGAGTTAAGATTTTGCAGGCAGTGGGAATGAATGATGTTTTTTCATGTCATCATGAAGAAGTTAATGTGTGTGTGTGTGTGTGTGTGTGTGTGTGTGTGTGTGTGTGTGTGTGTGTGTGTGTGTGTGGTCGTGTTTGCCTGCATTCTAATATGAAAACGTAAGCAAGTGATTAACAGAAAGAGAAGGCAGGATGCTAAAGACGTTGTCATGTGTGTCATTGTTCAATCACTAGTATCGCCACATCTTGTTGAATTGTGTTTAGGAATCGACCAGCACAGCTTAAATAGGTCACAGTTTGTTTAGGTGTTTGTTATTCACAGGGTACAAATAAATAAATAAAAGAACATGAGTGTGGTTCTTTTGAAGATAAGAGCAAGTTTCTGCAGGTCAGTAACTGAGCTTATCTGAAGACACCACAGCTCGATGCAACAGAAGCCTGTGTGTTTGACCTGCTCTGTCGCAGGATGGAGCAGAGCTGTGGGGCCACCACACAGGCTTACATTTAGTGGAATGGGAATTCAGGATTAATGTCGCAGTTACTTAAATAAAATACTCCCATATGCATTGCCCTTTTACTTTAAAGATGTTGCTTTATTTTTGTGGCTTCTTGTTCTGCCATAAGCTATAACAACACTAATATTTAATTGCCATACAAACACGATACTGTAGCAATTGTTTCTTATTCAGAATATTATTCAATTGATTGATTGCTGCCATTCTTTTTAAATGATGAAAAGAAAACCATGGTATGTGTTTTCTTTGAACAGTTTGTGTACAGTTTATTTTTATATCATTCTTGTGGATGGTCTGGAAAATGAATCACATGTTGATGATATAGCTATAAGCGTTGCCACTCTTGTATATAATGTAATATTAGAATGTAAATGATAGATTTATCCAAGTCACAGTGATTGACAAATAACCACTTAAGGTTAAGTAAACCAGTAAAACACTGCAGGCCACATCCTCACTTTTTCATTCTCTGATTATATTTTGCCCACCTGTACTAACAGTTTGTCACATTTTTAACTGTCCAGAATTAATGGTATCATTAAATATATTTGTACCAGCACTTAATTTTGGCAGGTTAGGAGACTGACAATGTGTTTCAGATGATGTACAGCCTGTGCCGGTGGTTTAGTCACTGGCGGTCCCTTGGTGATTATATCCCACTGTGCCAAATCACAGACCCTAATTGTGCGGTGGTCATTGTTGACGCCCTTTTAGAGACATAATTAAAAGAACCAGTCATTGTTTATTAAATTTCCATTTGATGGTGAACTTATTTGACTGATGAAGTCAGATATAGGGTGATATAGTCACAGAGAATGTTATACTTCTAAAGGAAATAAATGTGTCTTCATTTACCTTACTTAACCATTCCTAGAACTATCATCACCTTTGTTTCTTAGTAACTAGCACTAACAGCCTAAATGTCCCTCCCATGGTGGCCTAACTAGTTGGTTCCCTTTAGGGTTGATGTCAGGTTACTTTGTTGCAGACTGACTCCCTCTGAGAATAATTCTTTGGGCTTTAAATCATGTGTTTGTTCACAAATAAGAAAGATTATTCAAGGGAGAAAAAAAAACAACATGAAATAATTGTAATATTTGTAAATGATCTTGCTGTAATGTGTAAAATTGTGTCCAAGTTATTTTTTATTATATTATTTTTATGAAAGTAATTCCTCTTGAAAGAGCTGGGGTGTCATTTTGTGAATAAATGCATTTAATAAGCAAACATCTATATAGAAAACAATATTATAGTATATCAGTATATTTTTCTTTTATTTCACTGTTCAGTACTGTAAAGTGTGTTAAAAATACAAATAAACTAAAAATTTCATATTAAATGCAATACCATTCTAGTGTTTGCTATTATTGCAGTTTCCTAAAATGTTAGTGCAGTTTATTAGGTTGTTATTGAATGAATTGTCAGCATTTTACTTGTCTGTAGCCTATGCATTGTTTACATTCATACTATTCATTTATTAATCCAGGGTCTGGTAATATATATTTTTTTCTAAATGTAACAAAACTACAACAAGACTGGCTTATTAAATGTCCAAATTGGTTTCTAGTGTCAATGTTAAGTAGAGGCAACTCTGGTATAGGCTTGTACCCACATGCACACATCTTGCTTTTAACACTGATCACTATGTGCCTATCTGAGGCTGATATAAAAATGTGTACAAAATCACGGTATTTTATTAATGAGAGAATATGTTCACAGCCAATGCATTTGTTAAAAACATTTAAACTATTTCAGAAATACAATAGGCTAGTGTGAAAAAATCTTTACATGTTGCTTTAAATATTTAGATTCTTACAACACACAGAGTTGATCTACAAATTACAAATTGATTCTACATAATGACTCATTACAGCCAGAGTCATGGAGAACAGAGACAAGAGAAGTAAAGTGTCCTGCAACAGAATTGTATGGGTCCCACAGAGCCTGATGTCAACATCATGGAGTCAGTCTGGGATTACATGAAGACACTAAAACAGCCTAAATCTACAAAGAACAGCAGCAAGTTCCTCTAGATGCTTGGAACAACCACTGCCAAGTACCTTGAAAAAGCGTGTGTAAGTGTAGCTAAGATCATTTCTGCTGTTTTAAACGCAAAGTGTGGTCATATCAAATATTAACTTGATTTGTATGCATTTTTTGCACTATATTTAAAGAGGATTTTATGGGGCAAAACTCAGAATCAGTTTACAGAGAGGAAGACTTAGATAAAGCATGTGAGCAATTTTTAAATATATTTAAGAAAATATATGACAGGAACTGTCCTCGTAAGCAGTATAAAAACAAAAGGAATTACAGTGGGAAACCATGGATGAGTAAGGGATTACAGAATGCATGTAAAAAGAAGAATGTGTTATATAAGGAATTCATAAAGGACAGATCAAAGAAGGCGGAAGAAAAATATAAGTCATATAAGAACAAATTAATTGAGATTTTGAGGAGATGTAAGAAACTATATTACTCTAAAGTATTAGAGGATAATAAAAATAACATGAGAGGTACTTGGAATATATTAAATAAACTGATTAGAAATAGTTCCAGCAAGAGTAACTACCCCCAATATTTTATGGATAATGACACACCGGTCAACAGAATGGAGGATGCAGTAGATAAGTTTAACAGGTTTTTTGTGAATGTTGGTCCTAGTTTAG